CTGCTCGGCGCCCGCGGGCGGGTGAGACGCTTCGCTTCCCGCCCCGCCTCGGGGCCGGCCAGCCGAGCCTGGAGGCTTTCACGAGTCGGGATCTTGCTCACACACCCGCCTAGTGCCTGGACCGGGCCTCTTCCCAGACGAAGCCCAAAAGACTGGTAGTAGCCACACCTTCTGATGCGCTTTGATTTTCAACAAGGTTCAAAACCTTAAGCGACAAAGCCAAGTCCATATGGTAGAAATTTTGGCAATAGACCGGGAAGAATTTTAGGAACAAAAGGTTCTAATTAAGCCCTTGCAAGTCTTGCAGGAGGGGTGAGGGCCAAAGGTATTGTCAGCCACCAGCAGGCTTTTTAAAGCCCTGGTGGCTTACTCTGACCCTATTTCTTTAAAAACCCACAGAAGCACCAAAGTATGGGGGGAGGGGGGGAGCAATAGGTCGTATTGGCTTGACGCTGGATTCTTTGAACGTTATCCTATCCAAGTCACAACAACCCTAGGAGGTCAATGTTTTCCTAGTTTACAAATATGAAAACAGCCTCAACGTAACTTGCCTACGGACTCTCAGTGACAACGGAAGCCAGAACCCACGAGACCTTTGCTTTCTGACCCTGCACGCTGACGTGTTAGTAGGCAATTACAGCTCTCCCCTAATGAAGAGCCAATTTGTCCTGATCATGCGTTAACGTTTTCTCTCTGCTTTTGCTAGCATCTTGTTTGCTTTTAACCTTCTCCTCATTCCCTTCCTTAGGCCTCTGTTACTTAGAGACTTAGCACTGGAGAAAGGAGTAAGAGTTTAAAAAGATTGTAACCCTTACTGACCAAGCCTGTGTTTTCACTTTTGGATAGCCAGATAAAATACAGGATGCCCAGATAAACTTGAGCTTCAAATTTAAAAAAAAAAAAAGGAATTTTTAAATGCTTATATTGAAGTATCACTAGGGTACTTGTGATAAAAAATTATTCGTTGTTTTAAAAGGTGGTATATACATACAATGGAATATTATTCAGCCACAAATAGGAAAGATTTCCTGTCACATGCTACAACATGGATAAACCTTGAGGACGTTATGCTGAGATGAGCCAGTCACAAAAAGAGAAATAGTGGTATGATTTCATTTCTATGTGGTATCTAAAGTAAGCATATTCCTAGAGACAGAAAATAGAATGGAAGTTGCCAGGGGCTCTGGAGAGGGTGAAAAGAGGAGTTGTTTAATGGCTATAGAGTTTCAACTTTGCAAGATGAAAAAGTTATGGAGTATGGTTGCACAACAATGTGATATTACTTAACACTACTGAACTGTTCGCTTAAAAATGGTTAAGATGGCAAATTTTGTTATGTGTATTTTACCACAATTTAAAAATATGATTTCTGGCACTGAGCACAATTTCAAAAACTTTCTATCCTGGTTACTCCCTATGTAATACTTTATATAGCATTTAACACCAGATAAATTGTTATTTATTTACGCATTTATTGCTAGTCTCTTGCCCTCCCTTTCAGAGCAAAATAAAAACCTAATTAGATTGTCTCCATATTGTGTCCCTGCTCCTCAGTCCTTCCTACTCTAGTTTCCACCCTCGTCTCAGTGATATAGCTCTCACTATGGTGACTGGTGATGTCCCCAAAGGACATTTCCTGTCCTCACTTTACTTCTCAACAGCACCACTGGGCACTGGAATCTCTTTCCCTCCATTTGCTGAGGAAACACACAGCATTTACTTTTGACCTCCCTATCTATACCTTCTGATCCCTTTGCAAGTTCATCCTCCACTACATGCCCATTCAATGTTGGAACTCCACAATGCTGTCCTAAGCCCTGTTCTCACTCCAAATGCTGGACCCAGGTAGTTTCATGCTCACCCCCTGCATTAATAACCACCAAAACAGGCAGAGAATTCAAATCTCTAGCCCAGCTCTTCTCTGACCTCCAGACCAGTATTTCCAACTGCCCTACTTGACAGTCATTTAGATGTCTCAACACAACCCAAACTGAACTCATCACCTTCTCTTCCCTACATCTGAGTCTTTTCCAGTGTTCCCTATCTTGTGCTACTTCCACTCATCAGTTACTGCAACCCAGAAACCTATAAATCATCCTTGGTATTTCCCGCTCCTCAAACTCCAGATCTAAGGCATCATCAACTATTTTAGCTATCGAGTATCTCTTGATCCCATCCACTTCATGGACCAAGCTGTTCACCATCTCTTGCCTCCGTGCTTCACACTCACCAATGTGACCTCTAGACATCATTAACCCCAAGTACCTTTCCTGTCCTTACCTTAACAGCCAATGATTGTTATTACACATGATTCTTCTATCATCACTCTTGTAGAATGATAATGATGAGTAATAATGATTTCCCATTGCTCTTAGACTGACTTACCAGCTGTGGGGCCTGGCCCCTACCAATCTCTTTAGCCCCTCCCATGTCCCTCGTAATCCTGCTCCCTGTCATTATTTTTGCTCTAGTTATACTTTTTTTTTAAGATTTTATTTATTCATTTATTTATTTATTTATTTATTTAACAGAGACAGAGAGAGAGAGCACAAGCAGGGGGAGCAGCAGAGGGAGAGGGAGCAGACTCCCTGCTGAGCAGTGAGCCCGACTCAGGGCTCGATCCCAGGACCCCAGGACCATGACCCGAGCCAAAGGCAGATGCTTAACCGACTGAGCCACCCAGGTGCTCCCCCTATACTTGCTTTCTTTCACTCCCTTTAACTCACCATGGTGCTTCCTACATGATTGACGACAAGGATAGATATAAACAGAATCTGATCTTATTATGAGGAAAACTGGGCTGAAATCCATAATATGGCATTTATAAATTCTTATATTTAGGTTTGAAAGTGAAAATGCCTAACTACTGAGTCAAAGAGAGCTGATGACAAGGGGAGCTGAGGCTGTTACTTCATCACAAGTCTAATTATCATGAGCTGGTAGAATAATTAAAAAACTCTCCTCCACATTAATAGAATTAAGTGTCCAGGTAATGGAATGTTCCTATTCCATTTTACCCAGAAACTAGTCACATCACCCTCTATTCTTGGGGTCTTTGGAATGCATGATGTGACAGGAACCAGTTCCAGGAACGACTTCATGCACAGATGGCTGAAATGCATGGGGTGTCCAGGTAGAGGAAGGCAACTGATAAATGCAGATCTGCCTCTTCTGCTAACTAGGAATAACAAAAAAGTTTATTTATAAAGATGGTCATTTAAGAGTGGTGCCTTTTGTTCAGTATTAAGAAAAGAGTTGGAGGGGCGCCTGGGTGGCTCAGTCGGTTAAGCGACTGCCTTCGGCTCAGGTCATGATCCTGGAGTCCCGGGATCGAGTCCCGCATCGGGCTCCCTGCTCGGCAGGGAGTCTGCTTCTCCCTCTGACCCTCCCCCCTCTCATGTGCTCTCTCTCATTCTCTCTCTCTCAAATAAATAAATAAAATCTTTAAAAAAAAAAAAAAGAAAAAAGAAAAGAGTTGGTAACAACTAAAGCTATTCCACAAAGTAGAACAGGCTCACTTAAGAGTGTTTCATTATTGCTTCTCAAACTCTCCAACTCCTGCAGGAATGTTTCCGTAAAATAGCCTGCCTCAAAAATCTGATTTTATCTTTAAAATGTGTCCTTTACTCTGTAACACTTAGGCTTGTATTACCATAAAACTGCTCTACTTATCATCAAGTAAAACTGCTGTCCCATGAAGATGTGTTTATCTTGTAGATTTACAGGTTACTTGGCACAAGGCCCTGTTTCTCTTTGGGTACCAGTTTGACAAGAGACTGACTCAAGAAGGTGGATGGCAATTTTGTTAGGGTAGGGAAGAGGAATGTTGCAGAAGTTCCCTGCAGGGAAGACATCCTTTATAGCATGACTCAACCATAGTTCTACTGCTTTTGATCATTTTTAATAAACTTGTAAGTTTCCTGATGGGGCCAATCTCTCACAGTTCTTCAAAGAAGTGCTTTTCAGACTCGGCTGTGATTTTCTGGTCGCACCCCAGCTTTCCCAGAGAACTTAAATATCTCAACTAAAATGTCTGAAAAACACTGCTACAGGGCAGTGTTGTGAAAATTGTGGGCAAGTAACACATTTGCTTGTTTCACACACCTTCTCTTTGTAGCCACAGGATGAATTCAAGAAGGTTAGTAGTTCCCCCATATTCCCATTTCTATCCTAAGTCCTTTGCAATAGATGGGGCTTAGTACTACCAGGAGTTCCTGCAGATTGGTGATAGGGCTGGCTGATTTCTCCTAAAATGGAGAATGAAGAAAAGGCATACTTGTGTCTCCTCTTTTTATCTGATTCATCTGAGCAAAGTCTGGGACTCTTTACACAACAAAGAGGCATGACTTAGGCCAGTGGTTTGCACCCAGGCAAATTTGGCTCCCAGGGGACAGACATTTGGCAATGCCTGGAGACAATTTTTGTTGTCACGACGACTGGGGAATGCAGAGGTACTTAGTGGGCCTAAAGATGCTGCTAAACATCCTACAATGCAAAGGACACCCCCCCACACACAAAGAATCAGCCAGCCTAAAATGTCATTATTGCAGGGTTTGAGAAACCCTGATTTAGGTCAAAGTTAGTTGAGGGGTTTCATGGACAAATAAGGAGGCTAAAGGAGGTGAACAGGCTATATTCTCACATCCCTTTCCCCAAACACTTTCTCTTAATATAGTACTGAGCCTGTGTCTGTCTATATACACATAGACAGATACACTCCTATCTCTAGATAGTACTTTTTGAGAATCATTCTACCACTACTTTTTAGCTTTATGTACAACATAAAGAGTTCCTTTAA